AAAATCTTTAAAAAAAAAAAAAAAGAAATGATTATAAATTCATAGGAAGTTGCAGAAATAGCACAGAGAGATTCCATGGACCTCTCACTCAGTTTCCACCAGTGCTAACGTGTTACGGGGGATTTCCCTTTGCCACTTCCAAGGAGAGCTGCTCTGGTTTGGGCAGCTCTCCTTGGTCTCTGGTGTCCTCATCGTTGTGCTCAGTCCTGGTTGCACTTGCACGAGAATTTCCCTAACCAGAAGATGTGATTGGGTGGTAGGATTCTTGTCCTCGTTCTGCCATTATCTTCCTGATCTAAAAGCACTTAACTCACCTCAGCCTAATTTCTTTATAAAATGAGCACGTGGGTCACACAGTCTTTGATTTTTCTGTGATTGGGTAACAGAAAGCACAACCACGCAACTGGAAGACATAGCTGATCAGCCCTCGCCCGAGCAGTGTGCCCTGGTTATTTTCCACCTTACTTTCTGGACAAACGGAGAGGTTTTTTGGTGTTTTTTTTTTAATACTTTATTTATTTATTTGGCAGAGAGAGACACAGCGAGAGAGGGAACACAAGTAGGGAGAGTGGGAGAGGGAGAAGCAGGCTTCCTGCGGAGCAGGGAGCCCGATGGAGGGCTCAATCTCAGGACCCTGGGACCATGACCTGAGCCGAAGGCAGACGCTTAATGACTCAGCCACCCAGGTGCCCCCAAATTGAGAGGTTTTAAAACTGAAAGGTTGCATAGGCTAATTTCTAAGATAATTAAAGAGAATAATAAGAGCAATTTAGAGTCGGTTAAGTTAGAGCTAGAAGTTCAATGGGAGGCCAGTGATGTGGAAGGATAACAAAGGCATATCAATCTATTTCCTATTAGAAAGAAATTCACACAGAAGTCTAAGGCATCTGCAAATTTTAAGTTGAAAAGAATGACTTTAGAAAGTGGATTCAGGGGCACCTGTCTGGCTCAGTCATAAATAAATAAATAAATAAATAAATGGATTCAGAATTACAAAAACTTAAGATGTTTATTATCATTAGTGATAATTCCCACATAATTGGTTTGTTATGCATGAATATGTTATTTGTAATTATTATTAATGGTCTCTAATAGAAGTTGCATGTCTTTTATTTCTGATACTAATCAGTGGGTGAAGAGCATTGTCAATTTTTGTATTAAATTGTTTCAGTAGGGCATGGCTGGTAACCAGATTAAAAAAAAAAAAAGAACCAGATTTATGTAGGGAATGTGGATCTATGCTGGATGTTTTATGAACAAACACGAAGGATTCCAGCCTAGAAGCATTACTGAAATTGCTTTTAGGAAAACCTGTCGGCTGGGGCATCATTTTGTCCGTCTGAGAGAACAAAGTTCTCCTGTCTCACATTCTCATCAGAGTAAATAATTGTACAACTTAAATTCTCCATCCTGTACAACCTCTTCAAATTTTTTATTTCCTTTGATTTAATTGTAAGGCTGGACTCCTCTGCCCGACTCGCATGTTTATGCTGCACAGGCTTTGGAATCGGTAGCCAATCCTCACCAAGACTGATTATTTAAGAGCTGAGTAGCGTAAGAACAAACTTCTTGCCAACTTAAGAAAAATGAAATTTGCCAAGAGTTGATTAAAGTAATACAGAAAGAGACAGTGCTCCCGCCCACGATAATGTCCACCCAACTAACTTCATACTTACAGGTTTTTTTTCTCCTTCCCCTTACTCTGTTCACATTTGCTGATTCTCTCACACCTGATGACTCTTCTCTCAAATGCCCATCCTTGGTGTTTCTTCGAAGTTTTGTGCACCGAGGGCGGCCTGAGCCTCTGGATCTCCACTTGGGCATGTTCTTGCCTACTTTACTTCACCAGGCAACCGCGGAGCAGCAGGAACGCTTCTTCATGCCCGCCTGGAACTTGGAGATCATTGGCACTTACGCCCAGACAGAGATGGGCCATGGTACGGTGCATTCAGTCTACCTTCTGGGTTGGGCGGGGCTCTGCAGGCTTAGCGTATGTGGAGAGCCCACTGTATGTTAGCAAGGGCATATCCACGTACCGTGGTCTTTCTGCAGAAGCCAGGTTTTTTTATATATACGGGTCTTGGCATAGACGTGGCTTTGGTCAGTGGAAATTAAAGGTTATGTTGTCACAGAGATATGCTGATTATTCTTTTTCATGGTTCCCTTTCAGTGGGTCAAGAATTACAAGTTAGGATTTATTTACTGAGTGGCTTTTCAAGTTCACTGGAGTTGTGTAGAATTTGTGTGCATGTAGCATCTGAACCCATCTTTCTTTCTTCGGTACGATCTGATTCCCTTTCCTACGGATACCTTAATGGACTTGCACAAATTCCAGAAGAAACACAGATCAGTAGTACAGGTGTTCTCTGACTTGCTTGAGGGAAATGAGTGGCTTGTAGAACCATAATTCAGTCAAGGTCTGAAGGTAGCTTGGCCAAAGATTAAGAAAAAAAGAAAAAAAAAAGCTGTTTTGGAGGGAGTGGCTGTCCCTGTTAATCTGGTCTGTATTGGTGTCTCTGTTTGCTCTTCATTTCCTTCTGTCTTCTCTTTTCCTATTTCAAGATTTCAGAACTGATCTAGTGTAATGTATATTTGCCATGTGCTCTCATTTCTGTGCAACTTTATCTTAATTTTATAGCTAATTTGGCTCTTGGTACTAAATTGTATTTTACAGGATTTTTACAAGACCCAGAGTGGAGTATTGTTTGGTTCCATTGTGCATTTGCAAACATTCTGTCATTATCTGTTCTGTTACTCTGTTACTTCTTTTCCTGTAAAAACTTCTTTGCTGAAAGTGGCTGGTTCCTTGATTCTCACATGTACTTGAGAAGGTTGTGGATCACACATGAAGTGGCCATTTCTGTTCCTCAACTTGGAGGTTTCTAAATGTTTCAAAGTTTAAGTGTTTAATGAGGTCTGGAATTATCTAAGCAGTTTGGAAAAAGGTTCTCAGCATTGGCTTCTGGATAGTATATTCGAGGGAGTGTCACTTAGAATATTTTTCTGTTAACTGTTTTCCAAGAATTTTGGCACATTTGTATTAGGATTTAAAGCGTGAATCTTTGTCCATCTCCAGTAAACATGACACTGGGAACTCTTCTAGTCACAGTAATGAACCAGCCAGGGTCGAAGTTAAGGCCTGGCGTTGGAAATCGCAGCGTGCACTCAGACCTTATTACCGGACCTTTAGAAATCCAAAAAAAAGGTCACTGTTCCAGGTCTTTTTCCCCATAGTGTGTATCTTTTTGAAGTCTGGTTTTCCGTTCTAGAAATCACTCTGAAGTAAGTCTTTAATTTATAAGAACTTTGGCTGAAGTCTCTTTCTGTCACCTCTTACCTTAATCTTTGTAAATAGAGAAGCCCAGAATGTTGAACTGGTGTGTAGACACCATACATGAGTTGAAATTGGCACATTTAAACTTAGAGATGTTATTTTAAAAGAGCAGTTAACTTCCCTGTTAGGTTCCTATCCTATGATCTTGTGAAAATCCGATTCTAAACTGCCTTTATATTTTCTTTTGGTTGATCTAAATAGAGGTGCATTAATTAAAAAGTATAGAAATAGAACATGCTTGACATTTATATTTTCACCTTGATAGGAACTGCCTGGTTTGAATATAGGAAATTATGGGGCGCTTGGCTCAGTCGGTAGAGCACGTGACTCTTGATCACGGGGTCATGAGTTCGAGCCCAATATTGGGTTTACTTTAAAAAAAAAAAAGTATAGGGAAGTATCTGTATCGGTTATTAACTATTTGTAGCTCGTCTACAAATATCTTGTTTTTGTTAGATTTTGTTGTTCTCTGAGATACTAGAGCTGAAAAGACAGGGCAGGAGATTTTACCCTGTGCCTATTTGTTCCCATATTTTATCCAAGGTGAATGTAACTTATTTCCTTAGGAACTCATCTCCGAGGCTTGGAAACCACAGCCACTTACGATCCTGAAACTCAGGAGTTCATTCTCAACAGCCCTACTGTGACCTCCATCAAGTGGTGGCCTGGCGGACGTATGTGAATTTTTTAGCATTTGTTGGATGTTTTGACGAGTTATTACAAGATGGTGTTTAGGATGTAGAACTTCTATGGGAATATCATTTTGAAATGTAGGAAACGCTCTGAAGGCTCTTCTCGGCTGTTGATAGTCTCCTGTAGTGCTTGTTGTAGACCTGTCCTCCATTTACAAGGCACAGAAGGGACAGCTGTCTCACTCTGAACTTTGCATTTGAATATTCCCATCATTAGCGCAGTTTCCTTAGTCACCATGTAAAGCAGCTTAGTCTTCCCTGTGTGGTTATAAGTTATAAGTAATTTAAATGTAAACAGCTGTGTGTGGCTAGTGGCCACTGTTTTAGAAAGCACTTCATTAAGGGAGAAAAAGGAAATAAATTAATGTTTTTATGGTTATCCTAAAAAATTTTATGTAAATGAGTGAGAAATAAATAGAAAAGAAAGTAAAGTCTTTCTGATTAATTTTTTTTTTAGTGAAGTCTTTCCTAAAATGAAGGATTACTATCAAATCAACAAACTGTACACCTTAAACTTAGAAATGTTGTAGGTCCATAATATCTCAATAAAATGTGTATAAAAGCTTTTATATATATAGAATGAAGGATTGCTTTGCCAAAATTCAATAAATTTTAATGACTATCAGCTTAAGTGAATTTCTTTCTGAAAACTGGGTGTGGTACTGTTGTAAGCCTCTTGGGTACACTTTATCGATGGAGGCTGGTATTTAACATACAGTTTTTCCCCATCTTTTATTTCTGTCCTTTGAAAGTGTAAGAAGGTTTGGTCACTTCTCTCTCCTGTTCTCTTTGATGTTCCAGTTGGGAAGACTTCAAATCATGCAATAGTTCTTGCCCAACTCATCACTAAGGGGAAATGCTACGGATTACATGCCTTCATCGTACCTATTCGTGAAATTGGGACCCATAAGCCTTTGCCAGGTTAGAATTGTTTGTCTGCTGTTGAGATGAAAAACTAAACCGATCACTTTCTTCTGCAAAAAGCATAGCACACAATGAAAGAGGCCAGGGCAGGCCGGGAATTGCAGAGCACAAGCACCTTGTGACTTTCCTTTCATCTGTGGTAGGTATTACCGTGGGAGATATCGGCCCCAAATTTGGCTATGATGAGATGGATAATGGCTACCTGAAGATGGACAATTATCGTATTCCCAGAGAAAACATGCTGATGAAGTATGCCCAGGTATCTTTGGAGGAGCAGAGGTGTCAAACATGGGGGTTTCAGCGGCTGTTGATAACCACGGGGTTGCAAGGGTGTGTTTTTTTGGAAGGTAATAACCTATTTTTACTTCTGATGCTGCTTTTATTAATGACAGTGAAATCAAGAGCAGTTGGCAGGTATAAAGAACATATTCTAGTTTGCTAAACCAGTGGGTCTCAAACTTTAGCATGCGTTAGAATCACCTGGAGGGCTGTATAAAGTAGATCAGAGTGGGGATGAGGTTTTGTATTTCAAGCAAACTCCCCAGAGATGCTGCCATTCTGGGGACCACCCTTTGAGAATCATGAGCACAGACTGCCACTTGGGTTTAACAGAATGAAGCATCAGTCCCATGTTCTTTGTCCAGGTGAAGCCTGATGGCACGTACGTGAAACCTGTGAGTAACAAGCTGACCTACGGGACCATGGTGTTTGTCAGGTCCTTCCTTGTAGGAGAAGCTGCTCGGTCTCTGTCCAAGGCTTGCACCATTGCCATCCGGTACAGCGCTGTGAGGCACCAGTCCGAAATCAAGCCAGGGTAAGGGGGGCATCTGAGATTGCTAAAGACCTACCTTTGACCCCATTCAAATATCAAAATTCCCAAATGTGATCTCGAGAATATGCATTGGCCTTGCAAAATCAGCTAAGGTGGCAGTATGCTGGGTCTGCTCCTTAAAAACTAGACTTCCTTTTTTTAAGTAGAAAGATGAGGATAGCCACCTTACTATTTTTAACCTAAGAAAAACAGTAATATTACTTGAGCTCTATAAATGAAATGTTCAGGGGCACCTGGGTGCCTCAGTTGGTTAAGTGTCTGCCTTTGGCTCAGGTCATGATCCCAGGACGCTGGGATCGAGCCCTGAGTTGGGCTCTCTGCTCAGCGGGGATCCTGCTTCTCCCTTTCCGCCTGCTAGTGTGCTCTCTCTCTCTCAAATAAATAAATATCTTTTTTAAAAAAAAATAAATGAAATTTTAGAACACTAAAGGCAGTTTGAAAATCCTAATTGCTCCTAACAGCTATGAATTGGGTATGTTGGGAATGGCATGAATGGGACTCCCTGTTGTGTTCATAGCCGTAGGTTAGTCTTACTGCCTTTCACTTGAGTGTGACTCCCTGATGACCTTTTTAACTCCTATAGAAGGAATAAAGAAATCGGTAAGAGCTGACCGTCTTAGATGTCATATGGTTAACTCTGTGCATTGGGCCTTCTCCAAAATTATGGTTAAAATAGTTTTTTCAGCCATCTAGTGTGTTAGACTTCTTTATCATTGCTTTCCTTCTATGAAGTTAACCTTGATTTTTGTATGTTGCTATGAGATAGTTTCCTTAGTTATACTGCAAAGACTAAGATAGATATGAACTTCACAGCTAGAAAATACTCTCTGCCTAGGCGGTTCAACAAGGTGGTTGAGAACGTGGTTTTCTGTAGCCAAACAGCCTAGATTTCAATTAAGTGAGGATCTACCACATATTCGCTGTGTGACCTTAGGCAGGTTCTTAACCTCTTTTTTCCCCTTGGTGAAATGGGGAGAGTGCTAGCTTTTCAGTATGTTGAAGTATTTAGACCAGAATCTGGTGCATAATAAGTTCTATGTAAGTGTTTACTTTTGTTTCTTCTCTATCCTTTAGTGAACCAGAACCACAGATTTTGGATTTTCAGACCCAGCAGTATAAACTCTTCCCACTCCTGGCCACTGCCTATGCCTTCCAGTTTGTAGGTGCGTACATGAAGGAGACCTACCATCGAATTAATGAGGACATTGGCCAAGGGGATCTGAGTGAACTGCCTGAGGTATGTGTTTCCTCATTCACTTGTAGGCACCCTTGCCTGTTGGATAATGTCCAGAGAAAACTAAATGTTGGGATTTCTTGAGAAGAATCCATGTGTTCTCAAAAGATACAGCCATTATTTTCATTGCAAGTGAATCAGATACGAAGATTCGTGGGTTTTGTTTTTTAAGTTTCAGAAGTACTACACTGTGTTGGTTGTTTATTAATCAAAGGAACGTTAAGTGGTGACTTTTTTGCCAAGTGGAGCACTGTGGAAGGGAGTGTGGGAACAATATGAATTCAGGCCACCGAGATGACCGTGCTTCAGTTTGCACGCATGGCAAGTGATGTGGCGAGTGACCAGCACTGTTAGGGGAGGAAGAGAGGGCTTCTTGCCGGGAGGCTCAGACCGTTGGTGCCAGCCGCGCCCTGACAGCCTGTGCATCCCCCTCCAGCTCCACGCCCTCACTGCCGGCCTGAAGGCTTTCACCTCCTGGACAACTAATGCTGCTCTCGAAGCCTGTCGGATGGCGTGTGGTGGACATGGCTACTCCCACTGCAGTGGCCTTCCAAATATCTATGTCACTTTTACCCCCACCTGCACCTTTGAGGGAGAGAACACTGTCATGATGCTGCAGACGGCTAGGTGAGAATCTGATTTGTATTGTTAAAACGTTTGAGGGGCGCCTGGGTGGCTCAGTCCGTCAAGCATCCAACTCTTGGTTTTGGCCCAGGTTGTGATCTCAGGGTCCTGGGATCGAGCCCGGCGTCAGGCTCCGTACCCAGTGCAGAGTCTGCTTGGGATTCTCTCTCCCCTCTCCCTCTGCCCCTTTCCCCCACCCTCACGCTCTCTCCAAAAAAAAAAAAAAAAAAGAATGTTGGAGTCCTCTTCATCAGTTCCTGTTCCCGTGTTTGCTCTTCACGTTACATTTGTTCCTGAGAGATGGTGGTTTTGCCTTCCATCCCGACCCACTGGCTTTATCTTGTGGTCGGCCGAGCGGGTACAAAACACCTATCACGTTGCTTAAAGTCACTGCAAGAGTTCATCTCTGTTTCACGAGAAGCATAGTTACTGAAAGCATGTGCACTGGTGATTTTTAGGTTCCTGATGAAAAGTTACGACCAAGTGCACGCAGGGAAGTTGGTGTGCGGCATGGTGTCCTACTTGAATGGCCTGCCCACTCAGCGCATCCAGCCGCAGCAGGTAGCAGTGTGGCCAGCTGTGGTGGACATCGACAGCCCCGACAGCCTAACGGAAGCATACAAACTTCGTGCGGCCAGGTGAGTCCCCCCCTCAGGAGCTGGGGGGCCTCTGGGGGCTGGGGCCTGAGTACTGCCCGGCATTTCCTGCAAGCTCCGGTTTTCTTTCACTTCTTAACAGATTGGTGGAAGTTGCTGCAAAAAACCTTCAAAATGAAGTGATTCACAGAAAAAGCAAGGAGGTAGCATGGAACCTAACTTCCGTTGACCTTGTTCGAGCAAGCGAGGTCAGTGATAGTTCTCCCTCTCTCTCTCTCCTCTTCTCTCTCTCCCTCTCCATCCTTCACACCGTCCCAACCCATTTTCTTAGTGCAGAAACCCTTGTTGCTGTGCGGTGAATTTTTTTCAAAGGTTCTCTCACTCTGGTGTTTTCTTTTTATCTAGGCACATTGCCACTATGTGGTAGTTAAGCTCTTTTCAGAAAAACTCCTCAAAATTGAAGATAAATCTGTCCACGCTGTCTTAAGGAATTTGTGTCTCTTGTATTGTCTGTATGGAATCAGTCAGAAGGCAGGGGATTTTCTTCAGGTGAGTATTTTCTGAATTTAAGTCCGTTTTTTGTTTGTTTGTTTTTTGGTAGAAAACTCTTTGTGGTTTACTTTATAGTTGTGTGTGTGCACATATATATGAATGTCTGTCTGTATACGTGTATATATGTGTTTGCTTGTTTTATCTCTTCTAGGGAGGTATCATGACAGAGTCTCAGATTACCCACGTAAATCAGCGCATAAAGGAGTTGCTGATTGCAATTCGCCCAGATGCTGTTGCTTTGGTGGATGCGTTTGATTTTCAAGATGTGACACTTGGCTCTGTGCTTGGCCGTTATGATGGGAATGTGTATGAGAATTTGTTTGAGTGGGCCAAGAAATCCCCACTGAACAAATCAGAGGTACAAGAAAACAATGTCTTTTCACCTTTTGAAATTCTTCATTACATATTAAGGCAGGAAAGACCTCAGAAGTGACTCCTCTGTGAAAGTTTTGTTGTTTTTTTTAAAGATTTTATTTATTTATCTGACAGAGACACAGTGAGAGAGGGAACACAAGTAGGGGGAGTGGGAGAGGGAGAAGCAGGCTTCCCGCTGAGCAGGGAACCAGACGTGGGGCTCGATCCCAGGACCCTGGGATCATGACCTGAGCCGAAGGCAGACGCTTAACGACTGAGCCACCCAGACGCCCCTCCTCTGTGAACGTTTTGGAAGCTCCTGTGGCCTCTACGGACAGTCACTTTGAGTAACAGATTCAGAAGGAAACTGGGTTGTTCCCACAGTACACAGGTCTTTCATCTCCTTGAGTGTTTAGTAACTATTGGACATGTTCAAACATATACAAAAATAGAATACTGTAATACACCCCTGTGTATCCTTTGTCACACCTCAGTGACTAATCTCCTGGCCATTGTGTTTCACCTGAAAACCCTCCCTCTGCCCCGCGCCCCCCTC